GGTATGGCTTTTCTGCTGTGCTTGGTAAGTTATTCAGTCAAAATCGTAAAATTTCGAAAAAAGATTTCTAATATTGCCATTATCATAGGATTAAAAGGTCAACAGGTGATAATTTTTGGGGGGAAAAACGAAACGGTTTCCGGTTTTAGTCAAGAAGATTCAATTTATAATTTGGAACTCAATAATTTCAAATGGAGTATTCCAAAAGTTTCCGGAAAACCTCCGAGATCTCGACATTTTCATACTGCAAATCGAATTGGAAGTTACATGGTGATAGCATTCGGTAATTATCACATTTGATTTTTGTTTATTGATTAATGTCGTAAAATATATTATTAATTCTAAGCTTGATAGGGAAAGGTTATGATCAAAATACTATGGAGAATGATGTATTGTTGCTAGAAATTAGTGATACAGGGTATAGTTGGACAACAGAGTTTAATCCATTTTCTGAGCCACAATCTTATAGCATATTTATTATTGGTGGCATTGTTATTATCTTATTGACGGTATTTTTCTTATACAAGGCATACAAAAGATGCAAAACAAAATATTATAACATTGAAATTGAAATAATAGAATTAACAGACATTTCAATAAAATACTTGGGCAATTAATAAACTTAATAAGATTTTAAATCTAATTAAAAGACTCAAACATCGAGGAATTTTTTTTAATCATAAATTATATACAGCTAAATTTCAAAAGTCACGGGACGGACGATCATTTTGCAGATCGATAAAAAAACTCGGTAAAACTAGGTATAGAATTTTTTGAAGAAAAAACATTATCGCTACGTTCGGATCAGTGTTCCGAATATATAGCGACATATTTTTTTTACCCATATAAAATGTGGTTTGCTTTTTTAATTCCTTACAAATTTTCTTGGAAAATGTCTCGGATATTATCGGCTGTCCCGTGACTTATGAAATTATCTGTAACGAATCTTTAACCGGTTATTAACCGGTTAAAGAATTTTTTGTCGGTTCCAACCTCTATTATGTAGAACATTTATGAAGAAATGATTATAACTCATGATCAATATTCTAAAACTTATAATAAATGCCAGGGGAAAACCCCATAGTACATAATAGTCGCAAATTCGAAATTCGAAACTAAAATGGAAACGATACAATGAGTTTAATTAATAATTAAAACGAAACAACACAATGAGTTTTGTAATTAATTAAAAACGATTTGTTATTGGCTCAAATATGAACAATTCAATGTTTCATGATGTAACACATTGCCGATCTACGATTTTCGTTTAATCAATAACAACTTAGCCAGAATTAACGAATTTAATTCCGGCCAAATAATTAAGCTTCTTGATGCTCGTTTACTGTAACGTCGCTACAAAAAATTCTCGTTAGAAAAAAAAACTCACTACGAATTTCGTCATATAAACCAATCTATCGAAGCCATAATAATAATAAAATAATAAAAATAAGATTATATTCAAAGATCATAAATAAAATAGTAAAAATATAATATATTACCCTCTTAAAATCACTTGAAAATATTTTATATATTCATTTTTATTATCGACATTATCCAAAAAGTAAAGATACTAATAAATAATAAAAAATATAATCTATTCCCTCCGAAAATCCTCAAAATTAT